CCTTCCAAAGTCATTCCTCTCTTTGTTTCACATATGTCAAGAAATCATATTGGCTCTAACTTTTCAATAGATTATAGCCAATCACTTTTCATTACCTCTAGTACTACGACCCCAGTCAGAGCTGTCAACCTAACTTTGCCTTGCTTACAGCAATAGCTTTCTACTAGTTTTCAGATTTCATCCTGACCTCACTGGTCTTTTCTCAACACAACAGCCAGAGTGGTACCTTTAAAACAAATGTCACATTATCTCCTTCCTCTGTAGAGGTTCACCATTTCACTCAGAGGCAAAGTTAAGTCTTTAAAATGACCCTCAAGGTCCTGTCTGCTCTTCCATCCTTCCACACTGCCCGCAAGCAGAGACCCACTAGCCCCATTCTCTTGACCCTCGGATATCCTGCCCTCTGGAGCTTGGGCCTTGTGTAAGGGTCTGTGGCTTGAAGCCATCTTGGGCCCACTGTACAGTCTTTCTATGGAAAGTTCTCGAGAAAGACCAGGCAACCTCAGGGTGTGGGAATGAGGAACAGCATTTCAGGTAGAAAAAAATCACATTAAAAATTCACTAGAGAGCTAATGCATAAGGTGTGTCCAATAGGATGAAGTAGAGCTCAGAGTGCCTTGGAACTTTTACTGATCTACGCACAGCTCAGAGCTGGAGGAAGCTGACCCTTGTATACAGCTTGGCCTCTCCTATGCAAACTCTGACCCAAGAGATGCAGCCAGAAGCAATGAATTATGTGGTAGTTCCAGGCAGGTATTTCTAGGCTGATTAAGGGAAGCACCCAAAATAAACCTGCCCTGGAACCCCATCCAAGTGGATTCGGAACCAACACAATGAGCGGGGGGCCTTAGAGCAGATCAGAGCCTGACCCAACTAACCACAAAAATGGCACACCCAAAGGGAGATCTTGGCAGGCACCAGACCCTGCTAAAACAATGTCCCTTCAGGGCACAGCCCCCACGTGACAGCTCCTCCACTATGATCAAGGTTTATCCTTACAGTCAGTCAGCCTGAGGGGTAAACCCACCCATGTCATTTAGGACTCAACGATAACAGGCTGGGTACACATAAACCACGTAAGAGACATTCCTGGAGCACCAAGCTCAGGTGATCTGGATGACTGAGCCACTGAGCCCCACAAGACACCGACAACATAAAACCACCAGAACAAGTTTGGGAGTCATCACAGATCTACCTAATACACAATAATAAACAGAAGTCAGACAAAATGGGGAATCAAAACTATGCCCCAAATAAAAGAAGAAGAGAAATCCCCATAAAAAAGAACTAAATGGAATGGAATCAACCAAGACACCAGATACAGAATAAAAAACAATGGCTATAAGGATGCCCAAAGACCTTAGGAAAACAATGGAAATTCTCGGTGAGTATTTAAACAAGAAGATAGAAAAAATATAAAAGGACATAGAAACAATAAAAAAGAAACAGTTATAAATGAAGAACACAGCATCTAAAATGAAGACTACATGTAGTCTAAATGTAGAAAGAATCAACAGCAAGTTAGAAGAAGCAGAGAATCAAGTCAGCAATTTAGAGGACAAGGTAACAGAAAACACCCAAACAGACCAACAACATAAAAAAATGAAAGTCTAAGGGACCTCTGGGACACCATCAAGCATAGAAACATCCACATCCTAGAGGTACCAGAAGAGGGAGATCAAATGATCGAGAATCTGTATGAAGAAATAATGGCTAAAAACTTTCCTAACCTAGTGAAGAAAAAAGACTCACAAGTCCATGAAGCAGAGTCCCAATCAAGATGAACCCAAAGAGGCCCATACTAAGAAACATCATAATTAAAATGGAAAAGGTTAAAGATAAAGAGAGAATCTTAAGCGCATTAAGAGAAAGACAGTTACCTGCAAGGGAGCTCTCATGAGCCTGTCAACTGATTTCCCAACAGAAACATTTCAGGCCAGAAGTAATTGACATGAAATATTCAGTGAAGAAAAGCAAGGAGCTACAACTAAGATTACCCAGAAAGGCTATCATTTAACATTGAAGGTGGAAATAAAGAGCTTCGTAGACATCAGAAATGAAAAGATAATGTGAAAAAGAAAATGGTATTTACATATAGGCGTTCATGCATTGGTAATAAAGAAGCAGCAATATGACTGCCTTATGCTAGCCTGGTGTAATTGATATGTTTGCCTCAGAGTACTAAGAAAATCTCCAAAAAAAAATGTTCTGATGAACTTATTGGAAAAAATCTGCATATATGTAGACCCATGCAGTTCAAACCTGTGTTGTTCAAGGTCAACTGTATATACAAACACTTATGTATATATGTATGTATATGTGTGTACACACACACATATATATTTATATATATATAAGCCCTCTGGCAGGCTTGGCTCAGTGGATAGAGCGTCAGCCTGCAGACTGAGGGGTCCCGGGTTCAATTCCGGCCAAGGGCACATGCCTGGGTTGCAGGCTCAATCCCCAGTGGTGGGTGTACAGGAGGAAGCCGATCAATGATTCTCTTGCATCATTGGTGTTTCTATCTCTCTCTCCCTCTCCCTTCCTCTCTGAAATCAATAAAGAAATATATTTAAAAAATAAATAAATTAAAAAAAATTGAAAGCCCAATGACCTAATGGTGGACCGATCAGAATGACCAGAACGAGCAGCTGCTATGCCATGCACTGTGGTAGCCAACCGGCCCAATCTGGGCCCAATGGGCGACCCCTAACTGCCTGTGACCCCTCCCCCTGTAGGCCCCACCCCCAATTGGACCCCTCACCCCAATCAGGGGTGGGACCCCTTCCCCCAGCCAGCCAACCTTCTGAGGTCCCTCCCCTGGGCTGGCCTCCTGATAGGCCTTGAAAACTGGGCAAGCTGAGCGATCCCACTCGTGCATGAATATGTGCACCGGACTTCTAGTATTTATATAAGTATGTCCTATATAATAAAGAGCTAATATGCAAATGGTTGTCACACCCTCATGCCCTCGCACCCTCGTGCCCTTGTGCTGGGGCCAGGGGACCTGAGGCTGTGCCACCCTCCCTGTGGGGCTTGATGTGGATGGGGCCGACCGGGTCTGGGTCTTGCGTGATTTTGAGGCGTATGCAGGTGGGCAGGGACTTGATTCTGGGTCCCGCCACGCGCCCCAGGCTCTGATAGGAGGGAGATTTTCTTATACATTTTACTAATTTTCTTTCATCTCTGACACTTCTATTATAGAGAAAGGGCAAAAAGCAATATTAAAATATTTCCTCTAATTAATTCCCTTTTAATGTGCATGAATTTCATGTACTGGGCCACTAAAATATATATATTATAAGGGATTGACTAAGTGATTATACGGTCAGAAGTTCTACAATATGCTGTCTATAAGTTGGAGACCCAGTAAAACCAGTGGTATAGTTCAGTCTTGGTCTGAAAGTCTGTAACCCAGAGAAGCCAATGGTTTAATAATTATTCAGAGGCTGTCTTAGCTCAGCAGTTGGGCAGAGAAGAGGTGAGTTCTCCCTGTACCTTTTTTTCTCTTTAGTCCCTCAGGGGATTATATGAGGCGGCACACATTGGAGAGGGTAATATGCTGTACTGAGTCCACTGATTCAAATGCTAGTATTTCATGGACACACCAAGAAGTAATTTTTAGCAAATATCTGAACCCAGTCTAGATAACACAAAATTACCCATCACATTCCATCTTCTGCTCTCTCTCTCTGTCTCTTTGCTTCAGCCACACAGATCCCCTTGATATTTTTTTCAAACAAATCAGCTTGCTGGAGCCTCAGACCTTTATTGCAAGCTGCTCCTTCTTCCTGGAAGACTATGTGTGTTGCTTAAATCTTACCTTCTCAATGAGTCCTAATCAAATTACCCTACATAAAATTCCAATCCATTCTTTGCTCTAATGTCTCTTACATTGCTGTATGTTTTACCATATATTTTATCAGATTCTAACATTTCATTTAAATTAATTATTTATGATACTTACTGCGTATACTCTGTTTCTCCATCCCCCTAGAGTATAAGCTTCATCCTGTCAGGAAGTTTAACTGCTTTGTGCCTTGGGAAATACCTGACAATTTTTGATGGCTCAATAACTATTTAATAAATAAAGGAATGACTATTCCACAGAAAACCTTTTCAAGCATCATTTTGTGCCAAGCATTGTGCTCTGATATCTGAATATGCAAATTGATCACATACTTACCCTGCCTTCAGGAAACTAACAAGGAATCCCGAGCTACTGATAAACAAATGCAATACAAGATAGAAATAGTTTGGGCTGGGAAATTTATAAATGCTACTTAGAGACGGGAAAACTGTTTGTAGCCAGAGCAGTAGGGAAGAGTTTGGAGATGGTGACACCTAAATTAGCACTTGAATCTGTGGAAATGAGGAAGAACAACATTCCAGGTAGAAGAAACCACATTTTAAAAAATCTCTAAAGAGCTAATACATGGGGAGCAGACAGGGAAAAACATAGAATACTGAAAGAGCTTAGGTTCTGAGTCAACAGAACCTAACTGACTTCAAGTCCAAATTCTTGTGTGACCTTAGACAAATTGTTTACCCTCTCTGAGTTTCAATTTTTATATTTGTAAAAAGGGATAATGCCATCTAGCTTAGGGTATTGCTGTGAGGAAATCATGAACAAAAATCACCTAGTCCAGTGCCTGGCTTCGAGCGATCACTCAATATCTGAGAGCTATTATTGGAGTATAGTTTGACTGGAGTGTAGATGAAGTGTGTCCCTCACCAATGCCGTTTTCCAATAGGAAGCAAGGCCAAAATGTATTGCATTTACTCTACACTCTCTGGGAACATTCGTCTATTGTCCAACTTGAAAAATGAAGCTGAAAGTCTTGTATTAGAAGCATAACACCCTGCAAATGTGATGCATTGGCCTATCAGGCGTAAGATTGCTCTGAATATAGAAGGAATGGAAATATATGTGCGTTATATTTCTGCTGAAGATTATTTTTACTTACCCACTGGTTTATTTGTGTGTGTTTCTTTTTCAGTTGCTCCTACCATCCAGGAAATTAAATCCGGTACCGTGGCCCCCGGACGCAGTGGATTGATAAGATGTGAAGGTGCAGGTGTGCCGCCTCCAGCCTTCGAATGGTACAAAGGAGAAAAGAAGTAAGGACTTTGTGATTGTTACTGTGTTCCAAGCACTTTGAGCTAATGTGTTTGTGTTTCAGATACTTACTTTAAGCAATTTCTTTAACTGGCTTGAATGATTCTCAACTGCCTCCTCGCAGGCAAGCAAACTGAAGTGTCCCACGTGGGAAAGAAGAGTAGCTAATAGCATCCTGAAGAAATGTCCACTTTGGTTTATATGATCTGAGAAATGCCTGCAAATCCCTCATCGCTGATTCTTTTATTTGTGCTTCTCCCTTCTGAACCAGCACACCATTGCTCTTGCTGGCAACCACATTTAATTGGGAAGTAAACCAGCACTTAAAGGACTTGGGCTTAGACTCCATAAGAGCACTCCAAAAGCCATGGGAGCCTCTGTCTCTGCCCAGCTTCCTTGATAAGACTCAACACTCTCACCTGCCTTGCTCTCCCTCAAGACATTCTAACACTTTGTTTATAGCTCACTGTGTTTTAGATATTCTGTCACTAAAGGGGCTGTAGAGGAAATGAAGTACATGGTTAAAGGACTATCCAATGTGATTTTAAGGCTCCTCTAACTTCAGCTCTGTACCATTGTCCCCTTGAGAAACCTCAGAAGGCCTTGGTAAGAGCATTTGAACAAGAGAAGTCAGGACTCCACTACTTTCTCTTTATTTTCAACCAGTAAGCTCATTCAAACCTCTTTAGCTGGTCTTAGCTATCAAAGAAGAGCGGGACCCCTGTGGATTAACTGGAAGATGGGATGTAGAGGGAAGGGTAGTAGCTACACTATATATTTCACTTTAAAACCAGGGAGTGATGTATTCAAGAAAATGTTAGGTTCAACCATGACTGTAGTTTTACTTAAAAAAAAAAATGCAGCTATTTTGCATAGAATCTCTTCTACCATTTGGGATATTCCCTTTTTAATTCTTTTAACCAAGTAATTAATGCTTTTACTAATTTTAAATCTACCTTTCTGTGGCTTCATGGAAGCCCCCATGTTTTTAATACTTAGAATAAGACAAACCTCTCTGGGTCACCCTTGTTGCACCCTATACGATTATGTATCCCCTAATACAACCTTCTCAGATTCAACTGGTTACCCAGTTGAGATGTCTTCAATTTGTTTTTGTTTTTTTTCTTTAGCATATTTGTTTCTTCTTTTTTTTTAATCCTCACCGGAGGATATTTTTCCATTGATTTCTAGAGAGAGTGGAAGGGTGGGAGGAGGAGGGGAGAGAGAAATAGAGAGAAATATCAATGTGAGAGAGCCACATCGATCGGTTGCCTCCCACATGCACTCCTTACCGGGGCTGAGGAACCTGCAACTGAGGTATGTGCCCATGACCAGGAATCAAACCCTCAACCACTGGGTTTGCAGGTGGATGCTCTAACCACTGAGAAACCTGCCAGGGCGAGATAACTTCAATTTGTGACTATCTTTATGGGCAATCATCTAGAAAAGTGGCTCTCAATACTTTGAAAGTTAGGAATTCCTTATTCAAATGCAATCTTGTTTAGAAGTTCAAAAAGTAATAGCTACAGTATGAAAGTAATACTTCTCTGGTAGATATGGGGTGGATGAATAGAACCTTAATTCCACCTGTTCAGAAACCTCCCTTTCATGGGACATCCTTGCAGTCCCCCCGCACCCCCCAGCCCCACCCCTGAATTTCCACAAAAAATAATTAATTAATTAAAAATTAAAAAAACACACAACAGTTTAAATAATGACAAACTAAAGTCATTTTGGATCTTGTATCATTTTTCTTAAAAGCTAACAAACAATTATTTCCAGTAGTGCAAATGAGAGCTCATTTGTTAAAGTCCACTTTGCTTCCAATATTTTGTGAGATGATGTCCTGAAGTTTTTGATTGTTCATTTGTTTTGGGGGTGTTTTTTGTTCTCTCTCTCTTGTTTTCTCTTTTTCTCCCTTTCCTAAATACAGAACCTTTAAAAACTGGCTGTAATAATCCCTAGTCCATTTTTTGGCCTATAGCAATTATAGCAAAATGCCAATTGATGCTCATAGTCATAACTTCAGTGACTTTTTTTTCCTACTGAGGAGATGGACTATAGCTATTATTGGATTTTCAAAGAAATTTAAAACCACTCCTATCAAAGATAGATAAATATTCCCCAATCAGTGTCACTCCCCAACACACTTTTATACCTAGAGAAAGTCTAGAATCTATGAAATAAAATGCATATGTAAATAGCAAACATATTTTCATTTCAGAGAAAAGTATACATTTATCTTTGTTAGGATTGGAGTTGAGGAAATATTCAAATTCTCAAACATAATTAGAATACACAAATTCCTCTCAATATTATAGTAAAGCACACTTAAATATATGCAGGAAATAGGAGAAAGAAATATGCTTGTTGCTGAGCAGTTGTTGTTACACTCACTAATTGGATCTACATGGTAGTTTCAAAGCCCAGGCCATTCAAATATTTACCTCGTCAAAATGAAAAACTCACAAGCAATTGCTATTTGACAAGTAGTGTTCCAAATTTTTAATAAATATTAACCAGCTTATTTTTATAATGAACCTGTAAGATAGATATCATCATTTTCTTCTACTTGTTTGGGAGAGATAAAAGAACAGAGTGTTTTCAGAGTAATTTGCACAGGTTGATACAGTTAGTGACAGAACTTGGATTTGAACCCAAAAAGTCTTACAGTTCTTCGTGCAGAGTCCATGAGTTTAACCCCTACACTATGGCACTTAGTTTAAGTTATGGCCCCTCAGAGTCTACCAAAAATCAATTGAAATGTCGACATTAAAAGCCAAACATAAAGGCACTACAAGTCAATTATGAATATGCAAAAGGAAATATGACACATAAAAACACCCAGCTATAATTTCCCCATTTATTTAGTCAAAGACACAAAAATAGTGGAATCAAAGTAGGCACACAGAGAAGCAACAGATAAAGCATGTTTCTGAGTTGTTTTCTTGACCTCCAGGTGTCTGACTAGAGCACGAAGCTGTCAGAGACCCTGTCAGAGTCAAGGGGAGTTTCTGCAACATCTGGAGAAGCTTCATTTCCTAGAGACCTTTTATACTTAGGGCTTACAACTATATTCAGAAATAACTTACACACTATTTTTATTTCTACTTAAGGGGGTAGTTATAAAAAGTCACCTCTCTTAAATGTTCAAAGTCAGATCTTCAATAAAATAAATATAAACAAATAAGCACACACACAAAAAGAAACAGAGACAGTACCTGCCCACCCCTAATCTTTTCTCCTCATAGCATTCTGCATTCTATGGAATCCATTTCCATGTACTGGAATAATCCACTTGATAACCTTTAAAAGAAAGTCTTGTGAAATTTAGCACAATTTAAAGAACATTAAAAAAAAAGAAAATACTTACTGAAGACAAATCATTTTTCCAGGCCCTTTAAATACTTTTAACTTTTTTAGTCCTCAAATCTCTGTGAGATACAATTTATTATTTTCAATTTACTGAAGGCAAAACTGAGATGTCCTTTGGCGTCTGTCAACTTTAAGTTGCCATCAAGATACATTTTAGATTTGTCAACCTCTTAGTCCATGTCCTTTTTCCCTGTATATATTGGCATTGTTAGTTATCTATTGAACAAATAACAAGTTAACCCAAAATTTAACAGCTATAAATAGTGATCGTTTATTATCTCAATCAGTTTTTTGGGTCAGGAAATCAGGGTCAGCTAAGCTGTACGTTGATGGCTCTGGATCCCTCATCAGCATCTGAAGCTTGAGGAGGGGTGGAGGATCTGCTTCCAAGATAGCTCACTTCCAACGTGCCTGGCAGGCTAGTGCTAGTTATTGACAGAGTCTCAGTTAACCCCTATGTGGACGTCTTCATAGGACTGCTGGACTGTCAATGTGATATGGCAGTTGACTTGCCCCAAAACTAGTGATCCAAGAAAAAGTGAGGTAGAAGCTGAAGGTATCTTTTGTGACCAAGTCTCAGATGCCATGCTCTGTCATTTCTGCAATACTTGATTGATTACACAGGGTGATCCTAATCAATGTAGAGGAGCAACACAGGGACATAAGTATCAGGAGATAAGAATCATTAGATGCCATCTTCAAAGAGGACTCCCACACTGTCTCCATCATGGATAATTTAATTATTTTGTATTAGAAATATTAGCCACTTGACCTTGATGTATTGCATTGTTTAGATAAGTATTGAGAATGACTCAAGTTTTAATAGTTGTTATGAAAATATTATCGCTTGCTATAAAATGGTCCTTTTCTTAACACTGTAATCTCTTTCCGCATATCTGGCAGGGACAGTACAATTAGATTTAATTTTGTTTCAGATACATTTAAATATTGGGATATCAGAGTTGTGTGTTCAATTAAATAGAGAGCCACAAATTAATGTTTTTATTAATAACAGAGAAGATTGATAAGAAGAAATATATTCCTTATATATGTAGTAAAAAGGCACTTTGAACCAGGCAAGCACTATTAAGCAAATTATATTTTTGATGACATGAAATTAAGTTAATCTATGGCTTAAGAGCTGTACATTCATGATTAAGACTATATACATAAATTTTAATGGACTCATGTTTTTGCAAAAACATGGGATTTACATTACTTTGTGAAGATGTCATTACCCTTTGTCTCAGATTGGAATTTTGCTATTTGCTTGCTTGTTTGAATTTCCTCCCTTTTTTTGGATATCCTCAAATCCCACTCTGAGGCCTAGAAAGACAAGCCCACTGGTTTCTAATGACATTTAACTGCTCTAGGCATTTTTTTAAAAAGTACATTATTCACTTTGCCTATATTCGGGCAAATGACCAATAGTAGCAATGATTTTTGGAATTCTTTAATAACAACATGGTTTCTTTCTTAATCCTCCATCAGAATTTAAGATAGGGATACGAAAGTTACAAATGAGGTAAATATAGATTAGCTCCATGAATGAAAAGCAAGTATATAATAAAACATTACAAATTATTTATATATGAGTTAAAAAATAAATGTGTACCTATAATATTTT